TTCTACTACTTCTCTACTTTCCTTCTTTCTTTTCCACGGTGTGTTGCTCTACTGCGACTCTATCTCGTCTTTGTCGTCGGAGTCATATTTGGTGTACGCAGGTTTCTTCAACAGTGGAACTACCGACAGTGAAGCATAAAATTTCGATCAGGGACATTATTAAGAAAGTAAGAAAACAGAAAAGCTTATGTTACGGTAGATATACACAAGCTTATGAAGAATAATTTAAGTCGGGAATTAATTAAAAACATGTTGTTTTATATCTATAAAATTTCCAACAGAAATTATGAATTGGTCATTCTAGTGACTTTTAGTAACTTTTCTTGAGATGTATTTTGATCAGCCTGCACGAGAAAGTTTGATGACATTCGGTTCCTTTCTTTTTAAGCTACGTGTTCCCATTTTTCAGTAGTTCACTTCAGGTTCATTGAACTTCAGAGCTCAAGACTTCTACAGAACTTCGACGTCTAGGGTTCCCTAAAAATTCCCCTAAGATTTGAAGATCGTAATAGAGCTAACTTTATCCCTGTTACAATTATCCGCAACTCGTCATTCAAGATTATTAGCTATTTCTTATACCTCGAATTTATTTGTTTTCATCATGAATTCTCGAACATAAAATCTACTCCATGCACCAACAAATTAAATCTGTTCCGTGTGCAAAAATTTTTCCAAACAAATCGGTAAACCTAAAGGGTTAAACACAAGCTGACCGTGGATATATAATATAATAACACGTTCTCAGGCGAAACGATTTCCTCGTTTCTCCTCTGTGAGAAAAACAGAGAGAGAGAGGAAAGAGATCGCGTGGAAGAAGGAAGCGTGCGCGCGCGTGTTGCTCGTGCGATGGCGGGCGAGAACGAAACGGACGAGCGGTTAAGAGCCTGATAGAAACTCGAATCCTTCGGAGGGATCGCTTGCGGAGAGCCGCGAGCGTTTGACGGACGGACAGATAGGGCGCAGTTCTGCTTTCACTTCGCCGCTTTGAAGACCAGGAAAAATCTGGATGTACCCAAAGGCAGGCGGCGAGTGGCGCGCCGCATCGAGACCCGCCATTCCGCCCGGCGGAAACTCGCGTCCACCATGTCACTTTTGTTTCTGTTATTGAATCGTTTCACTTGCACAACGTGCGTTCGCGCCGATTTTTATCGAACATCCGCGCGGGAACGCACGAGCCAGGAAGGAAAGTGCACTTCGTTCGTATTTCTCCTCGTTTCGTTTCGTTTCTTTTCCTTCACCGGCGACTGTAACGTGCTTTTTCAAGCGTATTTAGAATACACGCGGCTTCGTTTGTGTGACTTTTGGTTAAATTAGGTTCTCCAGATGTGCTTTCTAAGTGTAGGATGAAACAAACTAGTTTTCTTCACTAGAATCTAGTGATCCCTAGACTGAAAATTATCCCTAGATTGAAACGTTCTACTCCAGTTGAAAACTGGAGACATATATATTGAATTAAATTTCTGTTTTAGTAGAAATTGTTTAGGTATAATTTTTGGTAATCGGTGAAAGCTAACTAAGCGGAAATTGACGCAGTAGTTAATGTCTAGACCATACAGACGTATTTTTCAGCGAAAAGGCATTTAAAGATGTTGCAATAAAAACATGCGACTCGTGTAATTTTTGGTACTGAAGATGAAAGGCCAAATGTCAAATTAGGTTTCCTAGATTTTAGTAATCAGTGATCTAGTAATTTTTCAATTGTAAGACGAGACCAGTTCCCCTAGTGGCCCCTAGATTGATGCCAGAAAAATTATCCCTAGGCCGGGACATTCCAGACAAGTTAGAAAATTTAAATTTCTGTTTTCATAGAAATCGTTTGAATGTAATTTTTGGTAATAAGAGAGAATTGCAAAGTATCATACGAAAATACTTAATGTTCCCATTCGTGGACATTTGTCGTATCTTTCTCTCGCAGCAGCGGGTGAAAAACATACGATTTTATTTACCCGATCTAGCTAAGTTTCCACGCTTTTGTATCTTTAGACATCGCGGTCCCGATTAGAATCTAAATCTGTCCGACGTCGAAGTACGTGTTGTAAGAAAACGTGAAATATCAGCCGGTCTGATTACGTCCGCAGTCTAATTAGCCGAGTATTTCGAGGTCTTTCGAGGAACGATCGTTCGAGATTCCACAAGAATGCCTTGACGTCCAGGTTTTTCCCATAAAACCATACTCGCGTGTAATCGTTCCCATTTCGATCGACCCAGGCTATCTAAAACTTGTTCTCTTTTATTCTAAAGCAGAAACAGAAATGCAGAAACTATCGCTTGAAGATAATTTTTACATTAAATAACATTAGAGAGTACCTTTTGCAATAAAAATGGTGCAAAAACATCAGTCGAAGATACGATTTTTCACGCAGTTCAAACAACGAAATAATAAATGTAATGATATTAAGATAAAATCCTTTGATGTAAAAGAAATTTTCGAATCGTCTTTCTGAAATTCTGTCGTTCCCGGTGAATGTTTCAGGTTCGAGACTTGGTGGAGAGGTGCACATGCCCGACGCAGTTCCCGATGATACGCGTCTCCGAAGGGAAGTACCGTATCGGAGACACGAAGGTGTTGATCTTCGTGCGAATTCTTCGAAGCCACGTTATGGTGCGAGTGGGTGGCGGCTGGGACACCCTCAGCCATTATCTGGACAAGCACGACCCGTGCCGATGCAGGACCTGTAAGTCAACTCTCCCAAATTTGTTCCTCTCCTCGTCGCTTTCTTTCTTTCTTTCTTTCTTTCTCTCACCCTCTTCAAGTTATACGTGAAACGGATAAAAGAAAAAAAAAAAAAAGAAAGAAAAATATGGGACAGTTTGGATGACAGTTTAAACAAGGATGAGCTCACTGTCGTTGAAAATAAAGATGATGATCGGACACTTTCGATTTTCGTTCGCTAGCGCGTCCAACGAAATTACGAAATTACGAAATTTACGAAACGATTGAATTTACCAAGTGTCGGACGACTCCTGCTTGCCAATGTATTAATCGCGATTTAAGCGTGAATCACTTTCTGCAAGATCGATGGGTTTTAATGCGACTTGACAAATCACGGACTGAAATTGTAATTTTAGAGAAATAAATGTTTAACATTTCCTCCGCGTCGTTGTGTAGGTGTAATTTATGCCTGCGATAATCTTTCACTGCGTCATACGTAAGTTATTGAATAACAGAGAATTAACGATTTAATAATAATTCGACACGTTGATTTAACGGAGAATTATGTCTCGTTTAATGAATCGTAGTTTTGATAAGAAAGAAAGAGGAAAAAAAAGAGTGGAAAAAAACTCGTATTATCGGACGCAGAGATTCGAGGTCTTGCAATTCTCTTTCGATTAAAATATCTCCGTCGTAAAATATCTACACTGTTGCATCTCGTGTGTGTCGGTGTGATCAAATTATATAATCCAATGGTGGTTCAATGCAATTTAATTTCCGATTCGAG